AGTCGAAGCCTGTTACTCCCCATCCAGATCCGCACGGCCTCCAGGCACCGGGACATTACTTCAAGGGCATCGTTGGGATGGCCTGGGGTGGAGATGTACAGCTGAGTATCGTCAGCGTACTGATGGAACTCCACCCCAAAGCCATGGATGATCTCGCCCAGCGGCTTCACATAAATGTTGAACAGAAGGGGCGAGAGGACCGACCCCTGTGGCACCCCACAAACAAGGCGCCTCGGGGTCAACCTCTGCCCCCCTGCCAACACTGACTGCGTCCGGTCGGAGAGATAGGAGGAGAACCACCGCAGAACGGTGCCCCCCACTCCCAACCCCTCCAACCGGCGCAGCATGATACCATGATCGATGGTATCAAAAGCCGCTGAGAGATCTAACAGGACCAGGATAGAGGAACAACCCCTATCCCGAGCCCTCCAGAGATCATCCACCAACGTGACCAATGCAGTTTCCGTGCTGTGCCCAGGCCTGAAGCCAGACTGGAGCGGATCCAGATAGACAGCTTCATCCAGGTACCCAGGAAGCTGTCGCGCCACCACACTCTCAATAACTTTCGCCACGAAGGGAAGGTTGGAGACCGGACGGTAGTTAGCCAAAACAGCCAGATCCAGAGCGGGCTTCTTGAGGAGGGGCCTTACCACCGCCTCTTTCAAGGCGGATGGCAAGACACCCTCACTCAAGGAAGTGTTGATAATCCCCTGGAGCCAGCCTCATGTAACCTCCCGGGGGGCCAGCACCAACCAGGAGGGACACGGGTCCAATAAACATGTGGTCGCGTTCAGCCGCCCCAGTATCCTGTCCATGTCCTCGGGAGCAACAGGGTCGAACTCCTCCCAAATGACATTCTCAAGACCGGCCTCCATCATTCCGTCTGTACCTACCCAGTCAGAGACCAAACCTTCCCGAATCTGAGTATTTTTATCGTGTAGATACTGAACAAAATCCTCAGCGCGACCCTGCAAGGGATCCTCCCGCGCTTCCAGGTGGAGGAGGGAGCGGGTCACCCTAAACAGGGCGGCCGGGCGGTTATCTGCCGATGCGATAAGAGCGGAAAAATAGTTAGATTTTGCCGCTTTTATCGCCACTAGGTAGGTCTTAATATGAGACCTTACCCATGTTCGGTCGGATTCGGAGCGACTAGACCTCCAACTGCTCTCTAGGCGTCTTTTCCGGCGCTTCATCTCCCTCAGCTCCTCGGAGAACCAAGGAGCCAGGTAAACTCGGTGACGGGTCAGAGGCCGCAAAGGCATGACTCGGTCCAAAGTGTCAGCGGCCGCTCTATCCCAGGCGGCCACCAGCTCTTCAGCCGAGTCATGAGTCAGAGCCTCAGGAAATGGCCCAAGCTCCATCTGGAACCTATCAGGATCCATCAGGTGCCTGGGGCGGAACCATCTGGTCTGTTCCGCCTCCCTGCGGCGGGGTGTGGCAGTTAGAAAGTCAAGCCTAAGGAGGGAATGATCCGACCATGACAAGGGCTCAATCGCTACCGCCCCTATCTCAAGATCATTCATCCACTGCCCAGAGACAAAAATCAAGTCCACAGTGTGTCCTCCCGTGTGAGTGGGTCCATGAATTAATTGGGTCAGGTCCATGGCCGTCATGGAAGCCATGAACTCCCGGGCTGCCTCAGAGACTTCGCTGACAGATGGCAGGTTGAAGTCTCCCATGACCATAAGCCTGGGGGTCTCCACCACCACCTCGGCAATCACGTTGAGTAGCTCGTGCAGGGCAGCCGACATGTGGCAGGGAGCCAGGTACGTAATCAGCAAGCCCATCTGCCTCCCTTGTCCCCACTTCACCAGGAGAGACTCACATCTGGCTATGAGGTACAGTGGCCTCCCTTGGAGCGAGACCTTCCTTTACAAAAACCGCCACCCCCCCTCCCCTCCCCTGGGACCTTGGCTGGTGGAATGCATAGAAACCCGGTGGGCACATCTCAACGAGGGGGACCCCCCCCTCCTGGCCCAATCAGGTCTCCGTAATACCTACCAGGTCCACACACCCCTCCTGAACCAGATCACAAATGAGGGGGGCTTTATTTACCATGGACCTGGCATTGCACATCAACCGGAGGCCCAGGGCCTGAGGATCTGAACAACCCAGGGAGCGAGAAGAGCATTGGGGGCCGGAGCACGCAATCGCTCGCAAGTAGCGAGTGCGTCCTCCCCTAACACGATGTGGCCCCCTGCTCCCGCCATATCTGCCCCTCCCACCCACAATGCCGATGGAAACGCCCTCCCCAATATAGGAACTAGCCCCCCTGACACCAGTAAATGATACTGGTTCCTGATATTTGTAAGAAAGCAATGACTGCTCTAATTATGTGTTTTCAATTTCAATTTCGTTTGTCTGAGTATCCTAGAAAATATATTCTAATTCCTAGTTCTATTCACTTTTTATTTTTACTTCTTGATTTATTTGGAAGTACTGGTAATATACTGTATAACAAAGGGGATCTTTTGCCAATGATCCCTAGAGTAGATTATCACCATCTAGTGGTCTGCCATGAACATTGCATGCCTTTGTGTAATTTGAGTTTTCATAGATCTTTTCTTTCAGGTGACTTTATTTTTAAAAATAAAGTTTGATTTTATCACTTCTGAGATCTCCCAATGGGGGGAAAGGGTTAAAGGATGTCTTCATGCTACCAGGTTCATTATATATATTCTTTATTTCCATTTTTTTAACCTTTTATTTGCTACAAAGACACTACAGGTTGTGTAAGTCTTCTTTTTCTCAAACTAGAATTAGAGGGAAGATGCTAGATAGCAGCAGTAATTACCAAACTGCTGCACCAGGGCAAGAAGTCAAGCCATATCGTGTAGATTCAGTGGGCTTCTAGACAAGAAAGATTGAAACCGCCAGCCTCTCACCCACAGGTCCAGCCAATTAACTACATGTTAGTTAGTATTTTGTGGCATGGCGTGTTAATACAGGATGCGGATGGAAAATTACAGGGAGTCCCAGAGCTACAGCAAGATTGTGAAATCAAAAACCATGTTGGAAGAAAACAATGGGAGACTACTACTGTTGCCAAGAAAGCAACACAAATATACACATTAAATTACCAGGAGTGGAGCCTGATTTAAGTAGTTTTATCACATCCGGGTTGCAAAAATCCAGTTGATCACTAGAAGTCAGCAAAGCCTAGATATGTAGCACAGAAGTCAAGGGAAGATTTATCTTTTTGTGCTAAAACTGATTCACTGTTGAGTAGATTAAATATGCTATTTGTCGCTTTACTCTTGAGAACTGGCAATATTCGATCTATGGATCTCAATCCATGAAATAAAACAAAATCTATTCTGCAACTAGCTTTATGTACCCCAGCCTGCTCTCCAAATTCATTAGATAAATTCAGATTCTACCAGCTGAGGTTGGGTAGGGGACAGGCAGGAACGTTGTTTCAACTAGCTTCAAAGGAGAAAACAGAAATCCCTGAAGTACAAGACAAAATAGTCCTTATATCAAAACTCATGCAAGGGAAGACATCCAAATTCCTGACTGGTTCTTGGGATTTGATTTTCCTTGCAAGGTTTTCCCAAAGGTGCTTTTTCAAAAGGCAACTGGACTTTCTGGTGTTTCTTTGAAGATGTTTCGCTTCTCATCCAAGAAGCTTCTTCAGCTTAGAAGCTTCTTGGATGAGAAGCAAAACGTCTTGAAAGAAAACCCAGAAAGTCCAGTTGCCTCTTAAAAAAGCAGCTTTGGGACAACCATGACCTGCATGACTGAGAATCTCTGTAGACATTCTTCCAAGGTTTTATTACTTGTGTTGATTACTACTGTACTGTAGGTCTAGTTAACTATTCTGTGTCTGAACCACAGGAAATAGAAAACCCTCAAATTTATGGGGGTTTATTTCTACAATCCTCCTAGCAAATTAGTGGCAAATGGTTGTGGAAATCAGACTTTGATGGGGAAGATCAGACACCTTTACTAAGAAGTAGATAGATGATGGATAGTTAGATAGATAGAAGTATAAAGATTATGTGCCATTGAGTTGTTTTCAACTTCTAGTGAATAGATTTTCCTCCTGGCAATCTTATCCCTAACCTGTTTTCAGGTCTCCCAATGGTACTCATTATTACTGTAACTGAGTCCACCCACATTTCTGCTACTCATTCTCTTCTCTTTCGTTCCATCTTTTCCAACATCAGAGTCCACATGAGAGAAATAGGTTTTTGCCTAATATGCTTGGGCCTGGTGGCTCAGCAGACTGATAGCATTGTGATTAACACCAGCTGTCTGCAATTACTGTAAGTTCGAATCTCCCCAGGCTCAAGGTTGACTCAGCCTTCCATCCTTTCTAAGGTAGGTAAATTGAGGACCCAGTTTGTGGCGGCAATAAGCTGACTTTGTATAAAATATACAAAAGTATGAAGGCTATTGCTTAATGCATTGTAAGCCGCCCTGAGTCTCCGGAGAAGGGCGGCATATATAAATCAAATTAAACAAACAAACAAAAAAAACCTAGGGTAATTTGACCTGGTTATTCGTGCTTTCAATGAAAAAACTTTTAAATTGATTTCTCCAATGTTTCATTGGTTTGCTTTCTTGGCGGTACATGGTATTCTCAACAGTTTTCTCCAACACTAGAGTGCAAAAATGTCAAATAGGAAGCATTTATTGTGGATCAAGATGGTTATGCAAGATGGTTCTTTTTCAGTTATCCTCAGAACAGAAATTCTCCAGAGAAAGCATGTCTTCCTTGAGCAGCCTGATCTTGTGGAGAATCCTGTTGTGTGAAAATCAGTCAGGGTGACCTCTAGAATGCTGTCCTTATTAAAGCACAATTAATTCTATTCATCTATTACGAGTTGGATTACCTTTTCATGTACTATTCTGTCATTCCAGCTCCGTAAATCAGATTAAAATACCTTATGTAAGTAAATTCAATTCAGTAAATTCAGTAATACTTTATCTTCTAACTCCAAACAAAAAGAAACAATATCTAATAATAATCAGTAAAGCTGGAACAATGCCCATGATATGAGAAAATCAATAGGATTTTATTATGTTTTGCCAAAAATTACTGAAATGTTGGATACATCATAGATGATAGATAACAGTGTATTACACTGATTCATCAACTTACAAGATAATCACTTCAATGTATCTACATTATACACACATATTAAAAAATCCATCTATTCTAAAAGAAAATCAAAAACAGACAATTAGACATGGCAGAAACATTAATTTATCTTTAGGTAATTTAATAGGCAATCTTTTAATTATCTTTTCTGAATTGCCATCTACAAAAGAATCCCACAGAAATGATTGTTTTTTTCAAAAAAAAAATCTGTCCATATCCTACTTTATTGTGTAAGTCTAGGAGTGTTTTTAAAATATTTTAACACACTGATCCTTCTTTAGCTGATTCTCATGCTATAGATTAGGGAATTATCTAGATATGTCACATTGAACGCCTTCCCAAAGCTGAAAACATATGGCTTGAACCTCCTCTAATTGCACAGCCATCCACAATACATTCCAGGGAACTTTTTGCCACTGACTCTTCACTGAAACAGAGCAATCAGGGTGGAGTATTTACAGATGAGAAGCAAGGGGATGAGTGCCTTTACTCTGCAATTAAGTTTACAGTTCCCAACAAAGAAACAAGAAAGGGAAGGTCTTGAAGAAAAATGAAAAATAGAGGAAGACTTACCGTAATCGTCACTTCTCCCCTATTGACAACAGCTTCACTTTTGGGGGAAATTGGTCTTACTAAACACAATGGGACTTACTTATGAGTAAAGGTTGACAGATGCAAACTGCGCAGATAGTTGCAGATCAAACTATATTAAGAAAAAAGAAACTTTTTTCTTTTGATATTCTAATTTCGCATCTACATTCCTAGTGTCTTTGAGTGAACATTGGTGACTTTTAGAAATACTACGGTCACCATTTTGTAGTGCAGGAAGCCCCTTTGCTCTTAGGAGCAACTGGTAACAGACATCCTTGAGGTGACCGTACACCTTTCCTAGAAAGAAGAAAGCAACCATGCCATTTGCCCTCTACGCAAATCTGGAGAAGCGTAAGAAAGGCTTTGCCCAACAATGATTTGTACCACAAGGCCCAATAGGCTGAATACGCAGATATGAAGGCAAAAATGCTCAATTGACAAGTCTCCCCGTAATAAAATGCAAATGTTCAAATGGTTAAAGCTCATGCAACTATCACTGAAGCATGTGTCCTTCCATCAGTGTTTGCTGCCTGTCCAAATGCTTGTGCATGTACAGTTATATGGTTGAAAGCTAAGACTTAAATGATCACCCTACAAATCTTCCATATGGATTTGTAAGTGCTCCTGCAGGATCCGAAGAAAAGATTTACCAGCCTCGGTATATAATACTTTGGGACGTCAAGGTTTTCACTGCCAAACACATGCCATCAAAATTAACTAAAAAACAACAAAAAAAAAGTCACTTTAAATCAATGCATAGGCATCGGCTGACCGGTAGCTTTATTGAAGTGGAGAAATCTTCAAGGGTATCATAATTCTGGATTCCATTTCCTGAATAAGTGGCACTGAAAATAAATAAACACAAATAAGGTGATACATGTGATGTATGAAAAATGAATGGCTGCTGTAGCCAGAGGAAAAACATGGCAGATTCCTGCAGCCCAAAGAGCCAGTGAAAGTAGCCACCACAACTGTTAACATATATTCAGAAATGGTTGGAGGCATTATAGAAAAAGCTGTAGTCATGCCTAACATCTGCAGGTATACAGAGAACCAGGTCAGTAGCATCTGCAAGGAGAGGGTAAAAAAAACCAACAACCCAACACAACAGTTGCAGGCGTGCAATTAAAGCACTAGCCCTTTACACAGGTGTATGATACAGTCACAAAAAGAGCAGGGCTTCACTCCTGCAGTTATGGCCACAATTTTGACCCCTCCTGGGTGCCTCTGCTCTAAGCAGCTTTACACAGACAAAGATGCACTGTGGGGGAAATCTCGATACGACATGTGATAGAAGCTTTGTTCTGCAGCATTTTGAAACTCTTCTGAGACTTTAGAAAAAAGAAAGTATGTTGCTCCTGATAAGGGAGAAGAGCAACCCATGAGGCAGAGCCAAGAGTGGGATGAGTTTAAGAAACAGTGAAACAAAATGTGACAACAAGAAGATTAAAAAAGGGAAAGGGAGACAGAATAATTAGAAATCCTGAGCAAAGGGCCTCCTTTATCAGATCAGCATATGGACACAGCAATAACTCCCTAGGAACTTAGCTGGTACTCAGGGGTTGGAAGTAGATGAGTCAAGGACAAGGCTCAGATAGGTAATCTGTTTATACCGTAGCCCTAATAATAACTGACTACAGAGTCTAGCAAGTCAATCTTCTACATATAAGAGCCTGAAGATTTCAATCTTAACATGTCTTTTTCCCACCCAGATATCATGTCACTCATTTCTCGTCTTGGAAATGGAGAGGAGTCACCCTCTGATTTGATAATAAATTTGTCTGCTCTCCAGCTCCCTATCTTCAACCTTGGCACCTTCATACCCCGTCCTCACAGCCCTGGCAGCATAATAAGCTCCACACGTGATGAGCATCGTTGCTGATATTGTCCTCCAAAATCCCTAACTTTGCTGATCCCAGCATCTACCTCCAGTAGAAAACTTTGTTTTTTTTAATCCTCATCACATTTAAATAAGTATAGAAATATGGTCCGAAATGCTTGCTAATCTTATCTTCACTTTCCAACCCCAAAACTACCCTGAACTCAGTTAGCCATCTGTCAGCCTAGTCCCAAGGATCATGGGTACTTGGAGAAGAGAATCTGTATCTAAAGAGGGAACAACTAAGAGAGAAAACTAAAAAGTTTCAGGGCCACAATATCTTATGTGAGTATTTATTTACTTTTTTATTCATCCACCAAATTTCTGCCCTATTGCAATCTAATGCCTCTGAGAGGCTTAAACAAAATATAAAACAAGTTGCAATATTAAAATCTCAAGAGGGGCCATCCAGAATTATATAAGTAAGAACTGATAAGAACAGAGAAAAAATAATTCAAAAATGGTATTCTATATCAGTTTGAGTGAATGCTGTCAAAAAGAGTTCTGAGCGTAGAATTATTCCTGCAAGGAGATTGCTCCAAAATGTGACTCTGCCCTAGAATAGCAGTCCCTTCAGCCTCTCTTCCTAAATCTCTCAGAAATGAGGGACTATGAACAGTTTCTCCCCGAAAGTTCTTATAGACTGAACTGACACTGGCTGAAACACAGAGTCTTGTAGATACAGTATGCTGTGTCATAAAAGACTTTATAGGTCTAAACCAGAGCCTCATGTGCACCTGGAAGCCAATTAGCAATCAGTGTAGGGTCCACAAATAGGAAAAATCTCTCCCATCTCCGAGAGCCAGTAAGTATGTGGGCCACTGCACTATGGAGCACTTGGAGTGTCTGGGTAATCTTTAAAAGCAATAGCAATAGCACTTAGACTTATATACCACTTTACAATGCTTTACAGCCCTCTCTAAGCGGTTTACAGAATCAGCCTATTGCCCCCAACAATTTGGGTTCTCATTTTACCCACCTCGGAAGGATGGAAGGCTGAGTCAACCTTGAGCCTGGTGAGATTTGAACTGCCAAATTGCAGGCAGTTGGCAATCAGTAGAAGTAGCCTGAAGTTCTGCACTCTAACCACTGTGCCACCATAGCTCACTCTTTAAAAGCACCCTGATACAAGGAATATTGAAGTATCCCAGGGTATTTAATATTTGTAAGCTGGCCAGAATTGTCTCTGAGTTACTGTATCCAGCTTCTCTGCACCATGTTAGGCACCTCTGGCCATGGCTTCCACATGCTATTCAAGCAGGAGCTGTGAGGTTTAAATTGTTACCCGTATAATACACGAGCTCATCCCATCCAGGTTTGTGCCAGGCAGAATTCCTTATGTCTTCTCTCGTCTGCAAGTCTTTGTAAGCTGCAAGCATTGGTAGAAAAAAGATTTGTAGTTTCAATGATATGATAGCCATCAACAAGTTTTAATTACAATAAAATGCCATAGAAGGCTTGGCAATGTGATAACAAGTGTCAATGCACCGTTTGGCATATATCCTCCTGATACTGGTCGTTCATTTTATTTTTCATTATTTCAGGATGGCCAAGAGCACTTCAAAGTGATTTAGCTTCAAAAGCTGAGTTCCTAGGCAGATGGCCCAGGACTCCAACACTTCGTGTTGAAGAACTCTTAGCGATCTATAAAAGAAAAATAAAGTAGTGTGGTGCTATGGAGGCCAGGGAATGACTCAGAATATGGGAGAAGAAAACAGTGAATATTGCCATTTTAACATGAACAAAATCCACATTTTCCAAGGGAACATTAAAAGGATGCAAATAATAGTTGAATTTGCTCTTATGTTTGGACTGACAAAGAAGAGGAGGTCAACCTATTTTCCAAAGGACCAGAAGGCAAGACAAGAAACAATGGATGGAAACTAATCAAGGAGAGAAGCAAGCTAGAAGTAAGGAAACATTTCCTAACAGTGAGAACAATTAACCAGTGGAATCGTTTGCCTTCAGAAGTTATGGGTGCTCCATACCTGAAGGCTTTTAAGAAGAGACTAGACAGCCACTTATCTCGAATGATATAGGGTCTCCTGCTTGAGCAGGGGATTGAACTAGAAATCCTCTAAGGTACCTTCCAACTCTGTAATTAATCTCTCAAACCACCCCCAAATTAAAACCTGTCACATTGTGGGCCCTGACATGGCCTTTAAGCCAACTGGGATTAGACACACATGGCCTAAAGGATAACAATGAAGTCAAGTCCTACCCCAGAGATGATGGACCATGTATAACTGTCCAATCTGTGAGAAAAATCCACCAACAGCTTCTTTATCATCCTGCCGGATACGAATAGCCCGGGCCCTGAAAGGAAGGACATGGATGTTTACAAACCAAATGCTGCAGTTGACATAAATGCTGCATCATATTTCAATCACAGCAATAAGCAACAGATTAATATTTAGAGCAATAGAGAAAGTTTGGAAGATCTGAAGCCAACAGCAGTGTTTGGATTATAGCACCAAGGGGTAATTCAGCTTTATGTAGGTTACTTATAATTTAAAGAGTACCTTGAATCCATTTATGATTTTACATCCATTTTTTATTTATTTAAAACATTTGTAAAGTTGCCCATCTTAAATCAAACTTAAATAAACTTGGCTTATTATGTATTTTATTAAAACAAATCTGGCAGGCCAGTCTCCTTGATTTGTAAAACAGGGACTGGCCACTTGTTCAGGGCTACTTCAGAATAAGGAACTTTGGCTAGCAGGGTGGATTTGATTTAAATCGAGTTGATTTAAATCACAATTTAAATCATGATTTAAATCACTAGTAAAAAGGCTTGATTTAAATCAACTCAATTTAAATCATAATTTTTAAAGAGCAACTGTCATCTCTGCTACTCCTTTGATCCACTGTTGACTCACCGATAGTCCCAGTGTTGCAGAATATACAGCCTCATGCTACATAACTAAACTCCATTTCATGCTGAATAAACTAAATTATTTATGTATCTTAAATAGAAAACTATCTTACGATAGATTTTTACCCCAAAAGTTTTTTATTAAAATAAATTTGATAAAAATCAAAAAAATCCGATTTAAATAAAAAAAATCTGATTTTTTTGATTTTTTAAAAAAAAATCATTGATTTTTATCCACCCTGTTGGCTAGTCATCATAAACAGTATTGCTTGAAACTGTCTAACTTAGTATAAGGCAGTTTGATATGAAGTAACATGATTGAGGACAGAACTGGAGAACTTAGAGAAGTTGTTGAATGACAAATACCATCCTGGGCCCTATTGATAATGATAGCATCTAAAGGGCATCTCCTGGATCCTGGCTCTTGACAAATTCGATTAGTGTCTGCAAAGCCCAATTTCAAAACCTCTAAATTCTCAGGATTCCAGCAGCTGCTTCATACAAAGAATTTCCTTTAATACATATGTTTTTTTCTGGAAGTTCTGAGTCTAGAGTTAATTAGCCTGTCCTAAAATAATGGACCGGTCACTTTATATAGAAAGTCAGATAAAAGTGAATTTGCCTAATGATCCATATTAATGTAGTCTTGAACTGAAAAAAAAGGGATGAGAATTAATTCTGGAATAAATTCTTACTTTGTCTTTTAAATTAAAAAAAACCCCAAACATTTATGGCCAATACTACCGTATTTTCCGGCGTATAAGACGACTGGGCGTATAAGACGACCCCCTACTTTTCCTGTTAAAATATAGGGTTTGGGCTATACTCGCCGTATAAGACTATCCCTCTTCCAACGCACACCAAATAAAAATTAAAAAAACATCAACTGGCTCACCCACAATGTAAAAGCAGCTGTGCTAGACCCAAAATGGCCCCTGAAACAAGCAGGAACCTCACACAGCCCCAAAAAGCCCCAAAAAACAACTTTCACGCTTTACACACACACAACACAACACAACACAACACAACTGGCTCATCCACAATGTAAAAGTAGCTGTGCTAGACCCAAAATGGCCCCTGCAACAAGCAGGAACTTCACACAGCCACAAAAAGCCCAAAAACCCAACTTTCACACTTTACACACACAAAATTCCACATACAGCTTTGTGAGATTTTGTGTGTTTGTGTAGTTAGAGTGAAACACTACAGAAACACACTAAATCTCAGAAAGCTGCACAAATATTATTTTATTTTATTTTATTTTATTTTTATATGAAAGCTAAATTTAAAACTTCCTAAACTTTAAATGGCTAGGTCTAAAAAAGAACTTAAAAAAAACCCAATTAACTATTTTTTTTTAAAGATCCCAAAGGGGAAAAAAACTTACGTACCCAATAGAACAGGGGTCTCCAACCTTGGCAACTTTAAGACTTGTAGACTTCAACTCCCACAATTCCTCAGCCAGCTTTGTTTTGCTGGCTGAGGAATTCTGGGAGTTGAAGTCCACAACTCCCTGCCTACTACCTTGTAGGCAGGGAGTTGCTTGCTGATGGAATGGATTCAGGCAAGCGAAGCAAGGCAAGCAGCTAAGGCAGTGGTTCTCAACCTTCCTAATGCCGCGACCCTTTAATACAGTTCCTCATGTTGTGGTGACCCCCAACGATAAAGTTATTCCTAAAACCATCAAAAATATGTGTTTTCCGATGGTCTTAGGCCAGGGGTCCCCAACCTTTTGGACCTCAGGGACCACCAACTTCATAATTTTAAATTTCGCAGACCACTAATACGAATCCAGTGCCCCGCTTGCTGAAGCACCTGGACTCCCAGTACGGGATGGGGTCCTTCAGGCACTCTCCATCCTCTCTGTCTCTCTCTCTCTCTGTCTCCCACTCTTTCTCTCTCATTCTCTCTTTCTCTCTCTCTCATTTTCACTTTCTCTCTCTCTCCCTCTCTTTCTTTCTCTCCCACTCTTTCTCATTCTCTCTTCCCCTCTCTCATTCTCTTTCTCTCTCCCCCTCTCTTTCTCATTCTTTCTTTCCCCCACTTTCCCTTTCTCTCCCCTTTCTCATTCTTTCTCTCTCTCCCACTCTTTCTCTCTCATTCTCTTTCTCCCCCCTTTCTCTCTCTCTTTCTCCCACTCTCTTTCTCTCCCCCCACTCTCTCTCATTCTCTCTTTCTCTCTGTCCCCCTTTCTCTCCCCCCCTTTCTCTTTCTCCCTCCCGCTCTTTCTCTTTCTCTCTCTCTCTCTTTCTCTCTCATTCTCTTTCTCTCTCCCCCTCTTTCTCTCTCTCCCCACTCTCTCTCTCTCATTCTGATTCTCTCACTCTGATTCTCTTTCATTTTCTCTCCCTCTCTCTCATTCTCTCTCTGATTCTTTGGTTCTCTTTGATTCTGTCTCTTTCTCTGTCTCTCATTCTCTCTCTCTCACTCTCTCTCTCTGATTCTCTCTCTTTCTCTCATTCTCTTTCATTCTGTCTTTCTCTCTCTTTCATTCTTTGTCTCTTTCTCTCTCTGTCTTATTCTGATTCTCTCTTTCTCTCTCATTCTCTCTCTCTCTCATCTCATGGGCCAGCCAGTGTCTTGGGGCTGAGAGGAAGTCAAGCATCTCCCTGAGAGACTGAGGGCCGGAAGAAGTGTGGGAGCGAAGCACTACTTGAACTTGTGCGGCATGAGCATTCACCTTGGTATATTTGCGCCAGCCGATGGCCAAGGCAGCCCTCATCTGTCTGCTGAAAGTGCAGCATCAGGATTCTGCCTTGCTATATTTGCGGCGCAAGGCAGCCTTTGTTTCCTGCTGCTTGGGACTCAGAGCGGTAAATAGCGTCTGATCCGGAGAGCTGCTGGATTTTGCTCTCTAATCCGGATGCCAAATCGGCCCCCTGCAAACTCTCGTCTCTCGAGGAGCGCTCCCTGAAGCGGGGCTGGAAACTTTGGTTGGACTGCTTGAGAGGAGAGCTTGCAGGGGGGCGATCTGGTGTCTGCAATGGAGAGCGGCATCCGGCTTTTTCTCTCCGCTGTAAGAGCGCTGTAAGAGTGGCAGCCCTCATCTCCTAATGTTTGGGACTCGGAGCGGTAAATGGTGACTGGTCCAGGGAGCAGCTGGATTTTGCAGTCCCAAGCATTAGGAGATGAGGGCTGCCACTCTTACAGCGCTCTTACAGCGGAGAGAAAAAGCCGGATGCCGCTCTCCATTGCAGACATCAGATCGCCCCCCTGCAAGCTCTCCTCTCTCAAGCAGTCCAACCAAAGTTTCCAGCCCCGCTTCAGGGAGCGCTCCTTGAGAGACGAGAGTTTGCAGGGGGCCGATTTGGCATCCGGATTAGAGAGCAAAATCCAGCAGCTCTCCGGATCAGACGCCATTTACCACTCTGAGTCCCAGGTAGCAGGAAACAAAGGCTGCCTTGCGCCACTCCTGACACAAATATACCAAGGCGGAATGCTGCTGCCGTACAAATGAAAGTTGTGCTTCACTTCCACAGCTTCCAGCCATCGCAAACGCCGCTTCTTCCCGCTTCTGCCGCCCCCTCCCCCACCGCCACAACAGCACCATTCATTCCGGATGGCGAGGGCTGCGCTCGTTTTTCTGTATTGCACCACCATCAAAACCCCTGTGAAAGGGTTGTTTGACCCCCCAACCACTGAGCTAAGGTAAGCAAGCCAGGAAAATGCACTGCGCACTCCCACCCTTTGCCTGCGAGCCTGGACGCTGATCCGGACGGCTGCAGAACGAACTGGGCACCGGCTGTCATGTCTTTTCTGCTGTGCGGGGTTCGGCACCTGGGCTCCCGGGGTTTAAGCCTCTGGGCCAGCCCGTGCTGCTCCAGGATGTTCACTTCGGGCTCCTTGGAATCGCTGCCGGGCGATTCTTCCCGTTGGGGCGATGGTGGGTGGCAGCGATCGGCGTCGCTTGGACTGCGGGAGCCATGGCGGACTCCTTCCCCACGAGGTATTGCTCTGCATTTCACCACCTCTTCCAGGCTCGCAGCCACCCACCATCGCCCCAATGGGAAGAACCACCCGGCAGCGATTCCAAGGAGCCTGAAGCTAACATCCCTGGAGCAGCACGGGCTGGCCCGGAGGCTTAAACCCCGGGAGCATAGGTGCCGAACCCCCACAGCAGAAAAGACATGACAGCCGGTGCCCAGTTCGTTCTGCAGCCATCCGGATCGGGGCCAAGCCAGGAAAATGCGCTGCGCACTCCCACCCTTTGCCTGCGAGCCCGGACGCTGATCTGGATGGCTGCAGAAGGAACTGGGCACCGGCTGTCATGTCTTTTCTGCTGTGCGGGGTTCGGCACCTGGGCTCCCGGGGTGTAAGCCTCTGGGCCAGCCCGTGCTGCTCCAGAATGTTCGCTTCGGGCTCCTTGGAATCGCTGCCGGGCGGTTCTTCCCGTTGGGGCGATGGTGGGTGGCTGCGATCAGCGTTGATCGCTGCGCACTCCCACCCTTCGCCTGCGAGCCCAGGTGCCGATCTTCTTGGACTGCGGGAGCCACGGCGGTGCTGGCCGGGCTGGGTCTGGTGCGGTGGGCGGAGATGAAGGAGCAGCCTCGGCGGCAGCAGCAGCAGCAATTACAACGGGAAAAGCCGTGGGGAAAGGAGGACGAGGAAGATCTGGCAAGGCGGTGCGAGCACTTCATGGCTCCTCCGGTGAGCGGATTGCGAGAGCTGCGCGACTGGGGCGGAGACATGCGAAGTCGCATGGAGCTTCTCATAATGGAGACTCAGAGCCAGGTGTGCAAGGCGCTGGCCCAGGTCGACCACGCCGCCGCTTTCACCGTGGACTGCTGGGAAAGGAAGGAAGGTGACCCGAATTCCGGGGTAGAGTGGGGACGCGTTCCTTTCTCGTGGGCCGCGCACTGCCTGGCACCTCTTGTAGGTTGGAACTAATTCAGAGTACAGCTTCCCCTCAATGTTGCCGGCGCTCCCAAAGTGTCATCGGTCAGCGCCAGCAACTCAGATTCGGGTACCCGGCGTATAAGACGACCCCCGACTTTTGAGATGATTTTCCTGGGTTAAAAAGTCGTCTTATACGCCGGAAAATACGGTACTAAACAGGATGTCATCCACAATAATTATTAGCTTGATGTGGCAGTGCTACATAACTTATTTTACTTATATTTACAATCAGTTCAACAAAGCAAGCTCCTACTCTTCTCATTTTGCAGGGGAGAATCTGAGGCTCAACCTAGTCGTAAAATTCAGCACATCTAAAAATAAAAGATATAAATTGCATTATAGGTATGATTTATACTTGTCAGTATTTATACCAACAATGCTAATGCACATGTTTTATTCCTAAAAAGCTGAAAAATTCTCTTATTTTCATTTTGTAATGTGCACCTTTATTTTTCTTAGTAGGGGTTTGTTTATCATAAAGGTGCATGACCTTCTGGGTTAACAGAGTTAGGTAAGGAGGAATGAGCAGGAGAAATATATATATGAAGGCTCCTGATAGATTTTTATTTAGCTATTTACAATAATGGAAGATGCTAAGGTTGAATGGGACAATCATATTCATAATCATCTCAACAGGTATTTGGGAAATAGAATGTTGTATTAAATTATACCTAGTTAATCTTGCACTACTATTTTTGTTTTTAGCAATTTCCTTCCAACCCCTGGAAGCAGCATATAAACTTATACTGCAACCTACAACAGCATCTTCAACACATTATGGCCTTACCAGTAGTTGCCCCATTCAATCATTGTTCCAGGCTGAAAAGAAACAAAATATATCATTAGATCTAAAACGGCTTCTTCTTATCACCTGCAAGCTAAGAATTAATACCCCCGTTTCTAGTTTTTTTGTTTTAGTTTACTAATCCCATTTCTTTTATTTCTTTTCTAAATCAACGTAAGAACAATGACATAACACTATTAACAGTTGAAGCGCTTACTTCACACACACCCAGCAAAAAATGACCCTATTGTCAAAAAATAGAATTTTCAGCAGAAAACAAATAAACTTAGGTAGCACTGGTACTCTAGTTAGGCATTTCTATCAAGAACCAAACTGCCGTTTTTGTCTATCAGTTGCATTATCCGAATAAGCTTCCACAAGCATGCAATCTTAAGACATTATTTCTGAGTAATTAACTACTGTTAATCCGATAAGATGCAGGCTAAGTCCTGAGGTTGTACTGAAAGCACGTATGCTTCTTCTTTACCTTTTTTTAAAGAAATAAGTTATGCAAATTCTATACCTGTGGAAAAAAACCCACTCACACGTAATTGGTAAGACCTTAATTCATAGATGTTGGGACCTAGCCTGGAAACAGGCTCATTCCAAAAGCTGAACTCCAACAGCAACTGATTCTTGCGAGACAGAAGCATGTTTCCTCTTGCTTTGCGAAACTCTGTAAATTCCTAAACAACAACAACAAATTGGATTCCTTAAGGGTATTGTGAAAAGACATTATATTTTTAAAAGAATTTATCCAGATTCTCTTTAAATATTCATAATTCAATAATGGAAAAATACCAAATGCCCCAAAATTGTTGGCTTTTCCCAAAGCTTTAAAACATGGCTGTGTACCTGGGCTTGGAATGTTTTAAGAGTCCTGTCACTTGGCTTTACCATTAGTTGATTAATCATCATGGCTGCTATTTGTATTTATTTATTTTGTGGATGCTTTTTTAGTGTTTTAATGTTTGTTAAATTGTTTTAATTGTTTTATATTGTTAGAATTGTAAGCCATCCAGAGTCACTTGGTTGAGTTGGGTGGCTCTAGAAAATGAATGAATGAATGATTCCCAATAGATACCGAACTCTAGACCTGTCAATGATAATGTAAATACTATTTGAATAAATCTTACTTTATATAAAATTTGAAGTATTGAGTTATTCAAAAATACATAAGCTAATAATTTAAAAGCCAAGAGAGAGAAGAAGGAGTGTGAGAATAAAAGGAGATCTCATATAATTGAAAAATGGTATAGTCTTTAAAGTACTCTTTCCTTACCTGGTGTAATTAAAATGTATTTGGCTTCAGCTCCTAGAATCTCTTGTCAGCATATCCAACAGTGATTCCAGGAATTGAAAGCCAACACATGTAGAGACACCAGGTTGAAGAAGACTGGATTAAAACATGTAACTTTAATTAAGACCCAAGCAGTAAGATAGATTATTTTATTTCATTATAAAACTGTGGTATATTAACATAAAAATCACTCTTTTTCTTAAATAGCATAAAAGTTGCTGTAATATCAGAAATAAGTAGTAGAACTCTCCTTATTTTTTTTTTCTTTGAAGCTGGATAATGAGGTATAGCTCCAAACAGAATTGGGCCACTAATACCTGGTGATGAAACTGCAGAAAACATTTCTAAAATATAATCCTTCACTAACATTATAGCAGCGTCCCAGAGACATGAATTCTTGGAAGAGATAGTCAGTTTGCAGAAACATGTCAGAAACTGGTCTATGTCTGATAATTTTATAGTAGACAATTAGATAACCTTGCAAATAGAAGTAGATAAGAGGAGCTGAGCTCTCATGGCAAAGCATCCAGAGGACTATATTCCATTAGACCAAGGGACCCTCAAGCAGCTACTTTTAAGCCCAAAGTCCCTTCCATGTGGCCACTGGTTTTTTTTTCATATATCACCAATCATAAGCAGCCTTTTTCATTTTTCTCTCTGATAAAGCCCTGTTTGTTTTTACAGGGGTAAGGGGCATGGGGCGGGAGAGAAAAAGCCACTGAGCAAAGTCATCTGCAAAGTATCCAGAACAAAACAGGAGCCAGATACTTTCTCTTCATGAGAGGAAGAGAAACTCCAGGCCAGAAGTTACCAAAAAGGTTAGAAAGTATTGACAGAAATCACTTGGTTTTACCTTATCATCTCGAAGTTTACTCATGACTTCTGTAAGGGCTGGATAGCCACCCTCATATCGCCAGAGATGTACTGAAATCAAAAGACACATATTTAAGTTCTCTTTTCTTACTGGAGATATATAGGTTGGTTCCATCTGCTGCATCAGATATAAGTATTCCAGAGAGCATTTGAATTTTGCTGGGTCAGTATCTGCTCTTTCTTAGACCCTGCAGGACTTGAGTCTGATCAGCTCTCTGTAATCAGCCCTTTGTTAATCTACTTTGTACAGTAGATTTGTGTTTTCCTTGCCCACCCTTTGCAACTTCACATCCAGATTGGGAAAAACATCTCTTGCAAACATTGGAGTAATTTTGCATTCTGCTATATGTTTTATCTCCTACCAGCCTGATCTTGCTCTCCGTACCACGTGTTCCACGTCCCCACCAATGTACATGGATACTCCTTCCCTTCATGGATCTTTGGCAGAACTTTTTCACTGATTAAAAACAAAAACAAAAGGAATGTGTGTAAGCTGCATGCTATCGACTTCGCTTTCTTCCAAAGTATTTACAGTACTGGTGACAGTTGATTGTCACTAACATTTTTATTATCCATCAGTATTCAACATAATCTAGGCTGAATCCTCCTGGATTCCTGGAAATTGCATTTTCATGATGTAATGAAAAATCACTCTGGAGCTTTTTAAGAAGAGATTGGACAATCATTTGTCTGAAATGATAAAGGGTTTCCTGCTGGAGTAGGAGGTTGGACTAGAAGACCTCCGAGGTCCCTTCCAACTGTTATTCTGTTAAATTTCTAAGAGATTTCTCCACAGCATCTTCACACAACATCAATGACTAAGGGTCCTTGTGAAAATCTAGATACTTTAAAACCAGTTTTCTACATTTGCCTTGGCAAAGAAAAATCTGCATTGTTCTTGCTTTTAAGAAGAGTATTTCTGCATAGTTAATAAGTGGATATTTCTCATATTTAATAGCATAATTATGTCTTTTCAACATTCAGCAGAATGAGGTGGTACAATTCTGAACAACAGAACTGTAGCAGACTTCCTGTTTCGTGGTTCATCTTACAGTATTGCAAAAATCTCCCTGCATGTACAAAAATGCATTTGGGTAAAAGGTTCTAGCTCTCTGTTGTACTATTTTTTTTTTGGTGAACTGTTTCAACGCAGAGTTCAAATACTATCCATTTTATAACCTGAGATAACTTATTCTTGCTCCTTTCAAGTGAGCAGATGAAGTGTTTGCCCAATCATATGTATGTTTACCCAGAAGTCTTACTGAGTTCATAAAATTGGGTGTAAGTAAATATACGTAAGATTTAGAGTCTGATACCTGGACTTGGAAGCATCTAGCCGGATATCAGGACTTACCAAAGTTTGTTGTAGGAGTCTAGACATTCCGGTTTGACATTGTGAACTGAAACATCAAACATCAATGTTAAAAGGTTGAAGGAGAGACACAAACTCTAATAGAGAAATATTAAATGTAGAAATAGATGCTCACACTGCAATTTATAAAGACTGCTAGTCTCCTTTTTGGCTAAGAGGGTGGAGTGAGCATCTTTCCTGGGATCAACCTTGCGGACAAACAGTGATTTTAACCAACTATCTTCTCCAGATTGGTTATGTGATAAGGCAAGGCCCCTGCAAGAAATGGTCAAAGAATAAATATATAAATTATATTCTTAGTTAATTCCCAACATTCCATTTATTTTTGTACAAATGTCTCTTTAGGAAAAATCATGTTTATGAATATTTAAATGTGGATAAGCTTATATGCATGCAACACAGATAAAAGATACAAATTAATTTTTTTAAATGTTTACCACTATATTCTTCTGTTTTTAAATATCTTTTATCAATATTCTTTATTTTGGTAAAAAAAGAAAAGCACAATTTTAAAGAAACCTTCTGTAACTAGTGTGATGATATTAGACAGATTATTTTTTTTAATCAAGACCAGATAGGATAGATTATAGAGAGAATCTCTGTGGTTACAAAGAGTCAAAGATGATTTGATGGCATGTAATCATAATCAGAACTACCAACATAAATGATGAAAAAAAAATTATTCAGATTTTTAAAAAAACTCTTAAAAGTTAACAATTTCAATTTATCAAACTATCTACTAGACTAGAGCTATAAGGGACGCGGTGGCTCAATGGCTAAGATGCTGAGCTTGTCGATCGAAAGGTCAGCAGTTCAGCGATTCGAATCCCTAGTGCTGCCTAACAGGGTGAGTTCCTGTTACTGGACCCAGCTTCTGCCAACCTAGCAGTTCGAAAGCATGTAAAAAATGCAAGTAGAAAACCAGGGACCACTTTTGGTGGGAAGGTAACAGCGTTCTGTGTGCCTTTGGCATTTAGTCATGCCGGCCACATGACCACAGAGACGTCTTCGGACAGCGTTGGCTCTTTGGCTTTGAAACGGAGATGAGCACCGCCCCCTAGAGTTGGGAATGACTAGCACATATGTGTCAGGGGAACCTTTACCTTTACTAGAGCTATATGATCTCCAAAAATGCTTTAAGATATAAGTGTACCATCTGTATGTAACACCTTAAAACAGCATTTTTTCTGGAGTCATGGTAATTGCTGCATAGTGCTCAGGAAAAAGTATGGTGGATTTAAGGTTTTGCACATAGGTGCAATATAATAATAGTAAGCACTTTGTTTATGATCCTGTGCATTCTGAAGGTGGTCTGAAGACTAGATCTGAAAGGTTGCAGGGCCCTTTTATCTAAATGTCTAACAATAGGACAGACATATAATTGGATATATAAGATCATGCTCTTTTAGGCTTTACTGATATAGCACGGATCAGGGTGGATTTGATTTAAATCGAGTTGATTTAAATCACAATTTAAATCATGATTTAAATCACTAGAAAAAAAAATCAACTCGATTTAAATCATAATTTTTAAAGAGCAACTGTCATCTCTGCTACTCCTTTGACCCACTGTTGACTCACCGATAGTCCCAGTGCTGCAGAATATACAGCCTCATGCTACATAACTAAGCTCCATTTCATGCTGAATAAACTAAATTATTTATGTATCTTAAATAGAAAACTCTTACGATAGATTTTTACCCCAAAAGTTTTTTATTAAAATAAATTCGATTTAAATCAAAAAAATCTGATTTTTTTTTTATTTTTTTAAAAAAATCATTGATTTTTATCCACCCTGGCACGGATACTTCAACTATACTGAAATCTAAGTATTCATTTAATCCAACAGTCATGAATCTGCAGCCAGAAGTTGCTTAACTACAAATCCCAGTGTATTCTGAGTTTACCCCAGACTGAAATTACTGGGAATTGTAATTTAGTAATAACATCTTTGGAGAGCCATAAGTTTCTAACCTCAGTGGGGAAGACATAATTTCTACCAGTAGGTACACAAGCTTTAGTCCCTCTCTTGTGTCTTACTGCAAATTAGTCCCAAGGACTATGTTCACTTCCTCAGCCTCAACAGGTTCAAACCTTCCCAGATAACCAGGCAAGACTCCTCCCCAGACCCACAACAAGGCCAAGGTCCAACAGTGAGCAAATTTGAGTGACCCCTTGAGGGATCTCCAACCCCCCTCTATCCAAGAGGGCATGTACCACCTAAAAGCCTTGGTAGTACAGTGGTCTAAGCACCCTGTTATTAAGACCAGCTGCCTGCAATTACTGCAGGTTCGAATCTCGGCAAGGCTCAAGGTTGACTCAGCCTTCCATCCTTTCTAAGGTAGGTAAATTGAGGACCCAGTTGTGGGGGCAATAAGCTGACTTTATATAAATATACAAAAGAATGAAGGCTATTGCTTAGCGCATTGTAAGACGCCCTGAGTCTCCGGAGAAGGGTGGCATATAAATCAAATAAAAAAAAAAAAAGGGCCATGAGATGGTTTCCACAGATGCAGTAATGGTAGAGAACTAATAATGCTTCATTACCCTTATCGCCACAAGGTAATCCTTAACAGTGGCTCTAATCCATATATTCAGAATGTTCCATGTACAAGATAGTAATATAAGTACAGCCACAAACAGCGATCTCATGTAAGTCTTTGCTTCTTAATTCATGTCACAAAAGGTTAGACTTAATTGGGTAGAAGTGAATCATACAATAGAAGTGAATCATACAATAAGAATTCCAGGGCCTCATTGCTTGATTTGTGAGAAAGTCCTGTTTCCTAGGGAACTCGTACATCTCAAGGACGTTTGAATTGCCCTTACATCTTTATCAGGCATACTTTTTAACAAAGTATAAACAATGCATACCAGAGCATCTTTACAGAGTGCCTTCTACACTCTGGATTTAGCAGCTCAATCAGAACATTTTTATCCAGCCTTGGTTACTAAGCACTAGCCTCTGTCATTATTCCTTAAAGGTGTTTACTGCACTCATGTATGCTATACATAGGTAACCTGTTCACATTAACCTTACATTGGGGCCTCTAAAACATGGGGTTTGATGGCTCACTCTTTTCAATAAAGAATAGTTTGGGATCATCTCCAGTTGTTTCAGTTACTTCCTTGAGTGCATTTTGAATGATCCCAGTGTGAATTTATTTATTTTTATTTATCAAATTTATATGCTGTTCATCTTGCGGTACAAGGAGACACTGAACAGCTATGATTAATAGAAATGGATAAGGGATTATGCTTCTCTTATTTTTTAAAAGTGAAAATATAGAGAATAAAATAATGTAAAAGTATACGTTCTTCTTTACACCCTAGTAACAATTCTCTCTCAAAGCTAAAAAATAATTGACATATTTGGAAGCACCAGGATGGGGAAGACTCCTAGGGATGGAAAATTAGAAAGATGCACTGAAACAGAAAAGTAAGTATCTAGGGCCAAAGAGCATAAAATAGTTGAAACCTTCATTTGAAAGAGACTTGGCTATGAATTTTAAGGATATGGGATGTAAAGGGCAGGGGAAAGTTCTGATACAGGTTTTTATTTATTATTTTTATATATCACCTTTCACCTGAGAATCCAAGGTTCTCAGCCATTTGGTTTTTTTTTTCCATTGTTCCTCACAACCATCATATGATGCATATTTTATCCATCCATCCCATTTCTATATTACCCATCTCACCCGAGTGACTATGGTTTAAGCTAATGTTACAAAATATAAACGTGTAAATAAGAACAAAATTAAAAAACAGAATTAAAAGATAGGGTTAGTGTCTTAAATGTTAAAAAGGTGGAGAGAACAGTCTCATGAAACCAACCATCTCTAGGGTTGTCTAACACTCTTTGACTCCCATGCCAATTAGCAGAGAAAGGTTTTAACACTCTTTCTGAAGGCCAGGAGAGTGGAGGCTCATCACACCCTTGGGGGTGAGGTTTTCCAAAGCGGGTGAGCAATGGCAGAGAACCTGCCAGGTGAAATTCTTCCTGGAACCTGCCAGGTAAAATTCTTTAACCATAAGATATCCTCCCTGCCTGATAGGATGGCACAAAACAATACAATTGGGACAAGATAACTGGTAATGGTCCCATGCCATGAACAGCTTTAAAAGTGATTTTGAAAAGGAATTGGACCCATATGTATTGGGCAATGGTGATCGGATTGGATTGGATTAGTATGGTGCCTAATCCAAAGACATCCCTTAAACTTCACAAAGCCATGTGCATTTGCACAAGTTGTCCTAGATTTAAACCATTTGTTTAGTGACCATTGGAAGTTACAACGGCACTGAAATAACTGACTTATGATTGGTTTTCGCACTTAGGATTGTTGTAGCGTTGCCATGGGCACTCGATCGAACTGTGGGCACTTGGCAAATGAGATGTATTATGACAGTTGCACTGTTCCAGGGTCATGTGATTTGTAATCTTCCAGTTGGTTTCCAACAAGCAAAATCAATGGGGGAAGCCAGATTCGCTTAATGACAGCATGATTCTCTGCAATGATTTGCCTAACAACTATGACAAAAAGGTCATAAATCAGGGCAAAATTCACTTAACAACTGCCTTGTTTAGTAATAGAAATTTTGGACTCAATTGTGATCATACTTTGAGGACCACCTTGCAATGGATCTTCCTGGTAAATACAATTCAGAAAGTGTCCGATAGCCCTTGTTTGAAATTTGACAATGTTATTTACATTATATGCTTTCTTGGGAAGAAGCTCACTTGATCATATGCAAAGTGATATGATTCATGAGGAATTTAAATGAATTGGGTAAGTCAAGAGAGGGGAAGATAAGAAAGTTTTGCAGATGAAAGTTCCATGGTGGGGGTTATTAACAGCTGCAATGTGCTAAAAGCCCTTTTTGCTAAATCCTTCTGAGATGGCCTGAAACATTTCAATGCTCAGCTGCCTCCCACTCAATGAGATCTGTGATGAAATAAACCTGAGAATGTTTTGTTTTTACTCTGCTCCTGTTTGATAACTCCTTGTGTCCATTATTTTTTTATTTTTGCACAAAGTCTCAAGGGTGCTTTTTTCAAGAGACAACTGGACTTTCTGGTTTTTCTTTGAAAACATTTCTCATCCAAGAAGTTTCTTCAGCTCCTTTGGGACAAGCGTGACCTGGATGACCGAGACTCTCCATAGACATTTTGCACAAAGTCTGACCTGTTCGTGCTACATAAAATCCAGGGGGGCTTTGGTGGCATATATCACTGTTAAATAAAATAATTGGAGAAGAGTCAATTCATGGGCAGGGAGGTAGCCAATGGGCTTCACACATGAAGTGAAGAGCAGATAAATGGAGAGGGAATGGCTTGATAAAATTTATATTAATATATTTACACCAGGCCTTTGCTTCTTTCTAATATAGCATCCTAGCATGCTAGGAAAGAATTATCCAGTGGTTGGCAAGTGGAAAGCAGAAAGAAGGAAAGTCTACAGTTGCAAGTTACTTTACATAGCATTTGGCGCACAATACTGAAATGGCAGGATTGTCGTATTTATTTATTTATTTATTTATTTTAAATTTATATACCGCCCTTCTCCCTGAGGACTCAGGGCGGTGTACAGCCAGAATTAAAAAACATAAAATACAAATATTAAAAAAAAATTAAAATATATATAAATTTGGCCCAAAATTAAAAATACAAACCAATTAAAACATTTAAAATTTCTTCTTAAGCCAGCCTGGCTTGCTGGAAAAACTGGGTTTTAAGGGCACGGCGGAAGGCACTAAGGTCTTGGATTCTCCTTATCTCTGGGGGCAACTGATTCCAGAGGGTAGGTGCCCCCACAGAGAAGGCCCTCCCCCTTCGTATATAATCCAACTGACTATTGCTAGAGGATACTTACAACCAGTGGTGAAATCCATTTTTTTTTACTACCGGTTCTGTGGGCATGGCTTGGTGGGCATGGTGTGGTGTGGCTTGGTGGGCGTGGCAGGGGAAGGATACTGCAAAATCTCCATTCCCATCCCACTCCAGGGGAAGGATACTGCAAAATCTGAATTCCCACCCCACTCTGGGGCCAGCCAGAGGTGGTATTTGCCGGTTCTCCGAACTATTCAAAATTTCCGCTACCGGTTCTCTGTCAGAACCTGCTGGATTTCACCCCTGCTTACAACCCATCATCATAAAGGTCTCCAAAGTCACTTACAATTTAATAAGAACCCAAATGAAGATGTTGAAATAAAGAGGAGAATGTTCCTATAATATGGGATGCGGTGTGTGTGTGTGTGTGTGTGTGTGTGTGTGTGTCAAAACTTGCTTGCTGGGGCTTAATTATGGGGATTTTGAGAAGGAACAAAACTAGTTTACATGTGCAGAGGGCACGAACGGGACATCCTTTCACACGATGACTAAATCATCCCATCCTCTACTACTACCCTGAGCCATAAACTGTCGGGGGTTTACCCAACACGCCCCCCCACACCATACAATCCACACTCCTCCCAGTGCGCACGCGTATTGCAAGAAACCAGCCACTGGAGCATTATTAGACAGGGGGAGGTGAGGCGGGGGGGGGGAGCATAATAAGGAATCTGAGAAGGGTTATACAGATCCAGCCTGGCCGCTGCTATCAGGTACCGCCCGCATTTACAGCCATTCCCTGCACGGGGCTGGAGCTCTGCTTTTCTCTCCTCCGCCAGCGCCGAGAGCGAAGGAAACGGGGAGCTCCGACTAGAAACCACCTGACTTGCCCGTGACCTTGAGGATGACGGCGGCCGCGGGACTGGGGGTGGTGGTGGAAAGAGAGAGAGAGAGAGAGAGATGCGCGCGGGACACGCTCCCCTCCCCTTTCTGCAGCTTCGCTCACCTGAGGTAGAAAAGACGGAAAGTGGCCCCCGGTGCCGGGAAGGAGCCACGGCGGAGGCGGCCCCCGGTCCCCCGCAGCAGCACTCCGGCCGCCATCTTGCCCACCTAAGCTGGCGGCGCGGTGGGGAGCGCGGGGCGAGAGAGGGGCGCGCTGCACCTGGACAGCCACTAGGGGGCCTTAGGGTTGCGAGGAGAGGATAGCGAAGGGGATTGGGTCGTGGGGTGGGGGGGGTGAAGCTAGTTTGCCTCGCGCGCAGTGAGACGCGGGCGCGCGAGGCGATTTGCGTAAACCGCGAATATGACGCGACTGAAAGGAAGGGGTAAAATGGGGGGAGCAAAAAAAGAATTTAGGTGAGCGGCCCGCGAAATAAAATCTCGTTACTGCTTTTATGTCCTCCTACCTGTAAGACTTCTGTAAGTTTAGCCGTGTTCCAAAATACAGCTCATCCAGAGGAAATAGAAGAATATTTAAGATGGGGACCCTCCCCAGGACGTGGATATTTTCCTCCCCCCCTCCATCTATTTGGGAGGGAATATAGCCTTGAGGGAGATTTTAAATATATACTCATAAATTGCCAAAGCAAAAGATATTCCTAAATGTCTGTTTTTCCAAAACACGTGCAGATTGTGCTCTCCCACAAACAATGTGAAGATTTTGATTTAATGCCAAACGAGATATTCAGATTCACTTCCCCCCCACAAAAAATATTTTGATTTTTCTTTAAATTTGGGACATTTTAATAAAATGAATATGCTTTGGCTGTGTAAGTATGTCTAGGTAAACAAGTATCACCCAGTCAATCAAAACTGATTCCCCAAAGAACAAACCAGCATTGGTTGCAGGGGGTTGGACTAGAAGACCTCCAAGGTCCCTTCCAGCTCTCTTCTGATTGATTGATTGCTTGTAGTTAGTAGTCAGAAGGAAATCTGCCAGAAAATCCCAGGGCTATAGATTAGAAGCCAGGGATAAACCATTTTGATATTGGGGGCAAAAAATAAAAACCTAGAAGAGTGACTTTATAGGGGAGAGAGGCAGCATAAAAATTGAATAAAGATGTTCCCATGTAGTCATCACAAGAGCAAAATCTGATTCAAGAAATGGTGATTGTATATGTCAATACAATATTACAGTAGAGGTATACTTTTATTAGCAGTGTACTGTGTAGGAGAGTAGGAAAATGAAATTTCGGCCAGGAAAGTTTTGGCCAGCTATCAGGCATACTGTACAGTAGTGGCCAAAATTGTGGAAACCCTTTTGAGGACAGTGTATTTTTGAGGTTTGATAGTTAATAATACCACTTTTTTTTGGAGTTTCAACAGAGTCATATTCCACTGCTGGAATGGCCTGGGAATAGCCCAGACCTTAACCCAATTGAAAATCTATGGAGCTGACTAAAGAAATTTGTTAATTAGAAACAACCCAGCAATAAAACCCAGTTAATAGAAGCAATCATTCAATCTTGGTTTCACATTATAACAGCTGCAGAACTGAAAGACTTGGTTCACTCCATGGGAAGACGTTGTAAGGCCGTAATTCATGCTAAAGCTTACCCAACTAAGTATTAACTGACGTGATAATTTTTGTATATCTTGTTTTTTCTACGTTTGACTTTTCTTCTTTATACTGTAACTGTTATTCTAATAGCAAATTCTTCATAAAAGTTATTACATTACATTCTTGATTAAATTATCTTTCCATTGATATATAATTTTATGGTACTACTCCAAGTGGTGTTATTAGCTACCATTATAAGACGCATCTTTTTCCCCCCTAAAAGGGAGTGAAAATGTAGGTGCGTTTTATACACCGAATGTAGCCCAATCCACCCACTGGCCCCCACCCTTTGGCCTCTGCCTCCCAGCAGTTACCTCCTTGCAGCAAGCAGCAAGAAAAATCAGCTTTTAGCTTCAACACAGCACAAGTTGATTGGATTGGCCTCCAACTCTCAGCTGTTTTGCTCAGCCTCTGCTGCTTGCTGCAAAGAGATAAATTGCTGGAGCACGGTTTTTTTCCCTTGTGCTAATCAAGCTAGGCTGAAAATGAAAATGAAAGTAAAGCAGGCTGTTTGCTGCAACAGAGGCAAAATTGCTGGGAGGCAGAGGCAGATTTTTTTTTCTTGTTTTCCTCACCAAAAAAGGTAGGTGTGTCTTATACGGTAGTTTTAAAAAATACACTTTTCCCAAAAGATTTCCACAATTTTGGCCACTACTGAATGATGAGGAAAGTGTTGATGATGGAAATTGCTATCCAAACTTTTTTTTTTTTACTAAGTGATCCTCTCATTATCTATAAATGGTTAAAAAAATAGTAAAACAGTATTACTCAAGCCAAACAACTAAACTGAATAGGCTTCTCCGAAGTTGAATTCCCCATATTTTCAGGAAGCAAGTTTCAGTTCAGAGAAACATCAGAGTAAACAAGTTACTATTTCCAATAATAAGATAACAGTATTTCCTCATCATTTTGTTTGCTTTTTTGGCTTTGATTTGCTTGTTTATTATATCGGTTGTAACTGAATTCTAGTGCTTTACTGGAAATGTTTAAAATATTCAGTTTGTATATCGCTTTATGTTCCTTCAGGCAGGAGTGAACATATAATACTTTAAAAACAAATGGTAACATTTTATTGCACGTACACACTAACTTCAGTTTATTATTAATCATGCTTCCTACATATATCAATAAAACCTTTTCCTTGAGACAGGCAAACAAGTCCCAAATTATTTTCCAACCTTTCATTTGTCTGGAGAAGAAACGGTTAATTCTTGGAGTTTTTCACTAAGAAAGCTAGTATCTCTGTCAGTCAGATTTTCTGTGTCAGCTACACTTTCCCGGAACTTCTGGCCTGCACACGGTTTCCCCGTCAAGGGATCAATTACTTTCCCAACCTTGTACACAATCTCAGCAAGCTCATGTTTCACATTCTTGCTTTTTCGTTCAGGCAAAGCTTTCAGAAGGACAATGTCTCCCTCGATGCACTGTTGCTGAGGATCATGAGCAAAGTATGTTTTTCGCTTCTTGTAGAACTGTAGAAGAAGAAGGAAAAGAGCGTGAAGATCAAGAGGTGGTTGTGTTATTTTGGAAAAGATTACAATGATGCCTTCAGTTAGATTGGTTTTAAATCTTTACCGGGCATAAGTATTCTGATATTTAAGAGCATCTGAAATTTGAATTGGAAGAAATGCCATAGAAAATTATATTGTTCTTTGTCCTGCTTAGTTCCAGGGTCTACTTGTTGGCCTAGTTCCTACAGTAAGTTTATTGGCGCATGATGTGGCAAGGGGTATCATTTTTCAACTAGCTTGTTGCAGAGTCTGATTTGGGCTGTAAGGGAGTGGCTAGCTCAAGGTCACTCAGCTGGCTTTTGTGGTTGGTAGCGGTCGTGGGAAACACCATATAAAATACTTTTACAAATGTGAGGGCTTTGAGTTTAAAGACTGCAATTAAAAAAAACATAAAATTTATAAGAATTAGTGCAGATACATAGTATGCCTCCATTCACTTTACCCATGTGACAACTATATGTATGTAATTTAATCTAACAGAGAATTTACTGGTGCTATCCAGTGAACTTTCTAGATTGCAAACATTACTCCTAATTTCTCTCCTAATTTGATATTTTATTCACTGGCATTAATATTGATAAACAATACTATATACCACTAGTAACTGAAATACACAGAACAACAGAATAACATAATCTTCTAGTCAACTCCCTGCTCAAGCAGGGAACTCTATACCATTTCAGATAAATGGTTGTCCAATCTCTTCTTTAAAACCTCCAGTGATGGAGCACCAACAACTTCTGGAGCAAGCCGTGATATCCTTACTTCAGTCAGATTGTACCCAAACATGAGAGAGAACAGACTGAAATAAAGAAGACCCCTCAATGAAGTTTACCCATCAGTATCTGATTATTTAATGGTATTTGTCTGGGAAACTACAATAGGAAAAAAAATTAAAAAGGTAATACAATCTTAATCCAAAGCCTACAACTGACATTCCCAGCCAGTGCCACTGCAGTGTCACCTTTGTCTCTTTATCTCATGAGAAAAGGAGACTCTTAACAGATTCTCTTTAGTCTTGTCAAAAATGCTGAGAGTAGATAGACAGAGATAGACACAGACACAACTAGTTGAACTAATTTTCAGTGCCACAATTCAGTCAGATTTATAAACTAAATATGTACAGAATTAACTTTCTTCACTGTTATTCATAGCCAATTCAATATATTTATGATTTATGCCAGTTTTTTCTGGGTATCTAGAGATTTGAGAATCTGTTTTTGTTTTAAAAACAACTTAAAAACTTTAACCAATGCCAAGATCAACATTCCCTGTGCCTGCACCATGCTACATTTCTCAAGTCAATACAACCGTGTGCCTTTCTTTTCTTGATTTTTTTTTGCTTTTTAATTTTAAAATAACATACTTAGATAGAAACATTATAAAGGTACTGTCAGACCAGATAAAATTAATTTGAATTAACTGCATGTTAGCATTAAGATTAGGACCTTTCATCAAGTGGTTGAAGACCACTTTTTAAGACATACAGCATCTTATATAATCCTAGCATTGCATTTTTATATCATCTTTTCTCACAAGATCTCATAATAATGATTTTCTCAGTAACTCATGAATTAGGCAATGGTGAGAAATGATTCAAGAAATTGAAGTTTAACAGCTTACACTTCCAGCTCTGGAGAAATCTTTACCTTTGTTAAGTAAGGGTCCAGTATCAGCCTTGTTACTCTCACTTTAGCTGTCTGGTGTATTTTGGTTCCAATTACTTTCCCTATTATCCATTTTGCATGAACAGCTCCACGTAATGCAGACATGACTTGATTGCTATCATTCAGGTATTCTGCAAAACAAATGTTAAGCATAATTTTAGTACAGAACTTCCATGCATTGTTGAAGCCAACACACCTGGAAAACCTTCTGCTAAAATACAATTGTTCCTAATATTTCAACTTTCTTCTTAGAAATGATTATATGCTTAAATAGCTATCCATTTCACACAATTGACTACGGCAGCTTACAAAATTAAAACCCTTAAATCTAAGAAAACCCTCCACTCACCAGTAACAACAGAACCCATCTACTTCTTGACTCAAATACTTGGGGGAACAGCCAGGTCTTCAATGCCTTGCAAAAGGCTAACAAGGTTGAAGTAATCTGAATCTCCAGAGAATGCTATTCCACAAGGCAGGTGGAGCCAGGATCCATAAAGACGACATTATGTAATAGAAGGGACTGGGAAAATACGCTCTCTACTACAGATAATGAGATGGGGAGAAACAATGGGAGAGAGGTGTTCCACAAATAATCTAGCCCTATGAGACATTATAGATAATGACCAGCACCTTGAATTGCACCCAAAAACCTACTGGAAGCCAGAACAACTTGCAGAGCAGGGTTACAAGGAATGTCAAAAACTAACTGTACCACTGCATTCTGGACCAGCTGCAGTGCACTTCAAGGGCAAACCCATGTACAATATGTTAACAGTAATCCAAACAGATGACTAAGGCACAATTCACCACAAGCAGGTGGCTGCTGGGCCCAGGAAGATGTGCAATTGGTGCACAAGACAAAATCTGTTTAAGATCCCCTGTGGGGAATTCTGGGAGTTGAAGACCACCCATCCTGAAGTTGCTGAAGTTTGGGAAACGCTGGTCTAGAATGTGCAGGAGTAAGGAGCATTAGCAGGGGTGAAATTCAGCAGGTTCTGGAGAACCATGGCTTAGGGCCAGGGTATCTACGAGACCGCCTTCTGCCGCCAATAGCCTCCCACCGGCCAGCACGCTCGCACAGAGAGGACCTCCTCAGGGTGCTATCGGCCAGACAATGTCGGCTGGCGACCCCCAGGGGGAGAGCCTTCTCTGTGGCGGCACCTGCCCTCTGGAACGACCTACCCCCCGAGATACGCACGATACCAGACCTCCGGACTTTTCGTCGGGCCCTGAAAACACATCTATTTCATCTAGCCGGGCTGGCTTGATCCCATCCTTTCGGTTTTAATTTGAAATTGGTTTTAACTAGGTTGTTTTAAATTGAGGGCCGAAATTATTTAATGTCTTTTAAACTTTTAAAAAAAATTTATATGTTTTATCTCGGCTGTACCTCAGTCCTGTTGGAGAAGGGTGGTATAAAAATCAAATAAATAAATAAACTGGTAGTGGAAATTTTGAGCAGTTCGGAGAACCAACAAATACCACCTCTGGCTGGCCCCAGAGTAGGGTGGGAATGGGGATTTTGCAGTATCCTTCTCCTGCCACGCTCACAGAACTGGTAGTTAAAAATTTGCATTTCACCACTGAGCATTAGGCATAAAAAGTTTGTTAAGAGGTTCTCAAGTCATCCAGGTCACGGTTGTCCCAAAGGTGCTTTTTGAAAGAAAGAAAAAAAAAAAGAAAGCCCAGTTGCCTCCTGAAAAAGCCCCTTTGTGAGCATTAGGCATGTTTACCGCTTTGAGTTATTTATGAAAATAAAAGTGGGATATAGAAAAAAAAAATTAACATTCCGACATCAACGTTAAAACTCTTCTCTACCGGTCATTTTAAAAGAGGTGCCGGACGGGAGATAATACTCGAAACTATCTGCCTCCCAGCAGAGCTCCCACGAATCCGCCCTTCCCGTTTGGTTCCCAGCCCCACAGAGGGAGGAAAACACCGCTTTCTCCGGGTACCGGATAACCCATTTGCGCCCCCCCCCTCCCCTCCAAGTCATTCGAAGCCCTTACGCTCTTCTGGCTGAAACCGGGAGGTGGGATCCAAAGAAGGAAAGGGCGGAGCCAGAGCCGGAAGGATCGCCGTTTCCGTAATGACGCGTTAGAAAAGGGGGCGTGGCGGCCGCCGAGGGGGTTTTTCGCGGCTGCGGCAGTGCAGCGTTCCGGATCCGAGGATGGGTGGCTTTGGGTGAAACTGGCATCGTCATTGAAAGCGACGTGGTTTTGACAAGCATTTCTTTGATAACAATGGGGAAAGCAAATTCAGTGTAACTGAAGCTTTTTCTAACATGCAGAGGGTTTGCAGATTGCTTTCCTCCCTCTTTTTTTAAAAAAAATTATCATCCCGTCTTTATTGTTATAAATAAATAAAATATAAATCAAGGCATCTAACGTACTTAGGTACTCCTCCCTCCCTCTTATTTTGCTACAACAGTATAGCTGAGAAGCAAATTGGACTGAGATGGACCTGCCCCGAAGTCACATGGCCGGCTCTCATGCCTAAATTGGGACTAGAACTCGCAGTTTCCCCTCCCAAAGATGCTAAAAAGGCAACTGGACTTTCTGGTTTTTCTTTGAAGAAACTTATTCAGCTCTGATTGGATGAGAAGCGAAACGTCTTCAAAGAAAAACCAGAAAGTCCAGTTGCCTCTTGAAAAAAAGCACCTTTGGGACAACCATGACCTGGATGACAGAGAATCTCCATAGGCTTTTGCAGTTTCCTGGTTTCTAGCCTGGTGCCTTAACCACTAGACTAGACCAAAGTGGCTTTAGTATGTCATTAAAAGCTGTATAAGTGAGGTTGGACATTTTTTTAAATCCCTTTTAAAATGGTATTTTTTTCTGTTGTCCTGCTTATGTTTTTATCATCTACATGGTGATACAAAAACTAATGTCACAGTAGGTGGCAGCACTTGCTCCTCTTTGGGTGGCCCTAAAAAAAAAAACTAAACAAGATTGTAGTTGGTTAATGGTTGCATGAAAGACCAGTGTAGGGTGTCACCTAATAATATGCTGGAAAAAGGCAAGGGGGAACCATCTACATTATTGTTGCCAAGAAAATAAGTGCCCATAAGAAATGGAAACTGATTTGAGGAGTTTTTTTTTTTTTTTTAAATTTGATTTATATGCCGCCCTTCTCTGGAGACTCAGGGAGGCTTACAGTGCGTTAAGCAATATTTATTTATGTTTATGAAGCTTTCCCATCATTTTCCATACTGGTATTTGAAAAAGGCAGATGTATTAAATTTCTATCAATATCCCCATGGAAAAAAACGATAGTGATACAATTCAATTTATTATGTGTGTGTTTGACAGAAAGTCCCATTGCTGAAAATTGCTGTGCTTTTATTAATACTTCAAATAATGGAATAAAAAGTAGAATTAATTACACAATATCATTTTAGAGTTAAAATCAGGAAATGCTTTGAATCCTCCAGCTCCTTACAAAAATATATTTATATACATTCTCAGTCATTGTCTTCATATATTTATTCTACATTTGTAATCCTTAGTTATCCTTACTTACTGTCACTTATGCCCTAGTCACTTCCTGATAGGAATATCGTAATGTACTCCACTTGGGGTTGCCCTTGAAGAATATCTAGACTTCAGCTGTGCAAAGTGCAGTACCAAGGCAGTTATGTGTGTGTGTAGTACACCACTGCTCTACAAGATACATTAGTTACTAATCTATTTCCAGTTCCAATTCAAGATGCTAGTTGTGACTTTTAAAGTCCTACATGGCATGGAACCAATTTATTTGAGGGACTTCCTCTTCCAGATTATATCTGTCCTTCCCCTGAGATTCTGTCTGCTAGGGAGCTATGTTTGGCAGATTCCAGTATGCTAGGTTTAGAAGACTTTTTCTGCTGTGGCACCTATGCTGTGAAATATTCCCCTCTACCCCTGTGAAACTGTCTCCATCACTTCTGACTTTCTGAAAGTCTCTCACTGTGCCATCAGACTGAGCACCCCAGGAGACTGGTGAAATAGCTCCTTTATTAACATACCTCAGCTATTCCTTTTTTTTAATTTATTTTTTTTACCATTTTAAAAATGTTTTGTAATGATTGTATTGGGCATTGTCTATTTTTAGCATTGTTGTACACTGTCCAGAATCACTTATTTTGTGAAATAGGCAGCTATACTAATTTGAAAAATAAAAATGTTGCTGTCTCCTATGAGCACAGCAAGGCACAATTTAGCCTTGTGTGTTGTATAAGCCACACCTAGGTGATGTGGTTAGTTTGATCCAGTGTGTCAGGCAATCCAAGAATATGAGTTTAACTGAGTAAGGTCATGGTTACATTATTGCAGAGGTGGGTTTCAGCAGGTTCTGACCAGTTCTGGAGAACCGGTAGCAGAAATTTTGAGTAGTTTGGAGAACCGGTAAACACCACCTTTGACTGGACTATTCCATCTATTCTCTGCTTCCCGAGTCCCAGCTGATGGGGAGGAAATGGGGATTTTGCAGTATCCTTCTCCTGCCACACTCACCAAGCCATGCCATGCTCACCAAGCCACACCCACAGAACAGGTCGTAAAAATTTTTGAAACCCACCACTACATTATTGTGTTATTTGAACACATTGTTTAAAAGCCAAAATGTGAATTAAGTTTGGGGCTGAAATGAGAAAACTGTTAAGTTTTAAGTAAGTAGATCAACTGACATTGCAGTACTATTCTCTACATAGTAGTATACAGTAATATTTAGGTAGGATAGTTGGGAATCCTGCATGTTGTGTTACAGACCTAATCTGTACAGTACCAGGTTGGAGAAGATCACACTAAATTTACTTTCTACCTTCTTACCCAAGTTGTATTTTGAAGAACATTTAATATATCTACTTGTATTTAAACTGCCTTACTTTCAAATGCCATCGCACAACATGGATTTATCAATCCAATCAGATAAGAAGGCCAAGAAAAGCTTCAAATAGTCTTTGGATATGGCTGTCGAAGGTGATATCAACTCTTTTAATTGTGAAGCCCTTGAAATAGCTGACTCAACACAAATCAACCTAACAGATAGAAAAATATCAAACAACTTATATGCCTCAACATCTTGTCTAGAGCACATTTTGAACAACTAGATTCCATGTTAAGATAATGGGAGGTTCTGTGGAGTTCCATTTGAAGAAAGATCGTATATCTGTGGTGTGGAAGACATCGCACACATCCTGTATAATTGCAAATTATGTTCTACAAAAAGGACTGTTTACTTAGATTGTTATTTAAAAACTAAACAAATATTGAGACACCCAGGTGAAACTATACTTCCTGCAGGGAATGAACCTGTATATCACTGGAAAGACAAATGTTTACATCAAAGGCTGTTTCAAAGAGGATAGACTACCTAAACAGATAGGTTTTCACTGCAAAAAGTATGATTAGGAGTATAAGTACTACTTTCACTAAATTGATTTCAAAGTTTTTGATATGGTTATATGACTAAGGAATAAAATTTGTTGTTTACCTTCTGAGATCTGCTTCAAATTTACTTCTTTTCCAACATGCCACTATGGAACTCATGCATGTGAGATATTCTTCTGGAACTTTTTTTGCAACGAGGTACCACCAGGCCTTTTTATTTGATTAAGGGCAATGTTTATCAGCCTCAGGAATCTGAAGATGTATGGA